TGTTCTCCTGAAACAAGCCAGAAAGTGGACCCTCACCAAATACCACGCTCTGCCTGAAGAACAGTGACAAATAAATTTCTAATTCATAAACTATCCAGTATATGGTATTCTGTTTTCATAGCCTGAACAGGCTAGAATGGTCATCTTTCTCCTGTTTTGTTTGTCCTTCAGTGTTCTATGTAACATTATATTTAATAAGTACTGTAGTCATTATGACCATATGATCTCCTTAGTGGATATAATAACCTTTACCATCAAATAAGGTCACTTTTGAGGTGTCATTTTCATGAGACTTTGAAAACTATGAGCCACTCTCCCTATGATCCACTTATACTAGTTAAGCTGGTTATCCATCAAATGTCACTAATAGTAAAAAAAAAAAAAAATCATCTATTTGTTCAGTGCGTCTAGCTATTTACTCAATTCTACAACAATCTCTTGATACAAAATGAAAGATCTTGGGTAGCTGCTATCATTAAATTCAGCCCAGGGGACTGTCTTTAAGAAGCATCTCTGGAAACTTGTATCACTGGCTGTAAACACAGAGTAAGGGAGAACATTCAAGCAACTATTCCGCGTTCAAGAAGAGAGAGGTGCATTTGCCTCGATTACCCAGGCCTTCTAGCAAGCCCCCCCTTGCATCTCCCACCTCAACCAGCCACATACGAGGGGACCCCCCAAAACCTGGAATTTATTTATAAAAAATTGTGTATTTCTTCTTCCATGTTTAAACTTCAACCACCTTCAAAGTACACTCTATTTGATGCAATGCACCTGTCGAGAGCTTTTTCCACTGCTCAGAACAGTTTTTGAACTCATCGGTTTGGGTGCCTTTTCAGCGCTCCTGCCATTCTTTTGTTTCCCCTTTTCCACATTGGCAAAATACTTCCCTTTTGAGGACTTTTCTCATCCAGGGAAACAAAAACAGTTGCTTGGGGCGAGATCGGGTCAAAGACTGCTGAATTCTCAGAGCGGTGTGAAATCACCCATCATGAAATGGGCAAAGGCACTGAAGAATCTCAAAAAAAAATTCACTGAAGTCAAGCACAGCTTCTCACAACACTAGCTGGTACACGGATGCCAGCAGGTTCCTAGAATGCCTAGCAGGGGAAGCCTGTACCACAAATGGCCCGCCCTCCAAAAAAATAATTTTTTCTTTAGTCCCCTTTCATAAAAGTAAAGACTGAGTCGACATTTTGTCCGATAACAGCTGTTTACCTGATGTTTCCATCTCCATCCATTCCTGCACAACCTTGATGAACTTGGAGCCTTGTGTCTACCCCAGAGGGCAGAGACTAACGTGTAAGAACAATCAGCAGAGCTGTCGGGATAAGTGGTGACGCTCGTCAACCCCGCTCACCCGCTCAGCACACGATGCTGAAGAAGCGTTTCAGAGACAAGGAAGAGACTATGTTCATGTGTCAGAACCAGAGCTGCTTCAGGGCACATCTAGAATGTGCCACCCGGAGAAACAGCATCGACGCCTGGGCTCTTCCTGGGCCTGAAACTGGTACTCGATCCTGACAGTGATTTCATTAGTGGGCCGGTCTAACGCACAAACATCATCTGCCTAGCAAATACTGATATAGTTTCTCCATTTTAATTGAAAGCTTGGTTTGTTTTCACTATTCACATGGCGAAGCGATTCCTTCTCACAGAAATAGTCCTGGAAGGGTGGGTTAGACTGCCTAGATAAACACGTGTATTCCAGTCTGCCCCTTCTCCTCTTTCTCTCTCTCTCTCTCTCTCTCTTCCAAACTCCTTCAGTGTCCCACCTTCATGCCCAACCCGGCTTTGCTCCTACTGTCCCCGCCACTAAGCATGCATCTCCGTCTTGTATTCTTTTCTAAAACTGTGATGGGGCCCAGGGCATGCTACTTCAAAATATGGCACCTTTGTGTATTGACTATGTTCAGCTGAAGGAATCTGAGAAACAGCAGAAGCAGGAGGGTCACTCCAACCTTGCCCTCACCCTTCTCCCCTGAAGCAGGCCATGAAGCCTAGGACAGATGTTCTGGCCTTCTGCTGAAACAGGTCATGAGAACCTCATTTGAGAGGCACCTGTCTATTCCCAGAAGAAAAGAACATCCTTATCTCCGACGATGAAAGGACACAGAGAATCTGAACCAGGCCTTGCTAAGTTCCCTACAATTCATTACCAGTAGATCACAGCCCCTCTGTCTAGACACACAAAGGGTGCCAAAAAAAGGTAGACATTTTTTAAGAGAGGAAAAAACTGTTATTAAAATTGTAATACACGATATATACCATTTGACCTCTGCAATTACAAGAGGTGCTCAAAGTGGTTCCCATCAGCATACATATACTTCTGAAAAGAACTTGGAAAAGTCATACATAGATAAAATATATATTTTTGGTATCCCCAATATTTCTCTATGATTATAAACTCTACACCAAAGTTAGCATGTAACAACCTCTTTAAGTCATTTCTGAAGGCTCCTGTGTCACATAAAACATGCCAAATACAATTTTATGCTTTTCTCTTGTCAACGTGTCTTTTGTTAGAGGAGTCTCCGCCATGAACCACGGATGGGTGAGGAAAAGCTCTCTCTCCTCCCCCAGACTTGGAATCCTCTGGAAGCCCAGTCTTCTCTTCACCCACAGCCCTCCTCGCTCAATTCTTATGTCTTGGACTGGATGAAGAATGGAAGTCAGAGTGTTCAGGTACAGCACACTTTTCCTCACCTAGAGACATAAATGCAAGCTACCCAGTGAGGCAACCACACCCCGCTCTGCATGGCCAGGCGAGACCTTAGTATGTGCGAGGCAGACAGTTTTTGTTTCTGGCTCTGACCCCTTTTCTATACACACGTTGCCTAGCCTCTCGGGGTCTCGAGGGTCTCATTTCCAAAACGGGAAAAGTCACAGTGCTTACCTTCTTGAGTTACTATAGCACTCAGATTAAATGTGACAATTCACAGGAAACATTTCTCCGAGTGCCAGGCTGAGTCCCATGACTCCATTTGGTTGCAAGTAACCTGAGTTTAGGAGCTTGCTTTCTATTCCGTTCAAACCCTGGTATTTTTGAGCAGATAGAAGATTCTGGTCATTTATATGTTTTGTAATATACCAAGTCTGTGCTATTTCTCGGTTTCAGCGTAAAAGAGCAGCGGATGGTCAACCCAAGCGTGTATGTATAGGTACAGGGACATGGCTGGCTCCGTTCCCTGGGCTGGGTCTGCCACAAAAAGGTGAGAAATGGGAGGGGTGGGCTGTGAAGAACGGCTGTGTGGTCACAGTGACTGGCGTCGCCACCCTGCCTTCCTCCTGGGGCCTGAGCCTTCAGAAAGCGTCCGCTCGGAGCGGGAGAAATGACAGAGAGAGCAACTGGGGTGCGTGCATTTCAACGTATTAATCAACAACTTATTCAAAGGTGAAGCTGACTGCGACGTGAAAACAGGACTTAGAGCCAGTGGTCTTGAGATGTTATCGTGCTTGTGACCATCTCTAGGCCATGTGTCTTGAATTAAGCTCTTGCTTGGAATTTTAAAAAGCTTTCTTAAAGTACGTCTGATTTCTCTTTTCATCTTCCAATTGCAGGGAAATTAGAAGAGGTGCCAATTCTGTTGCACTTTGAGAAAAAAAAAATCTCCTGTCTCTAGGACATTAATTTTGAACAGAAGGAACCACAAGGAAAGTGCTGAATTTTCCTGGGGAACTTGCAGTCATGCCTGGTGCATTTCCCAAAACTTACATCTTGCCAAGTCAATCCAACTTGCAAGACACAGGAATCTTTTCTAGAATCTTCCGGAGTCAAGCCCAGGTGCAGTCCTTGCACCGAGGCCAGTCTCTGACATAGCACAACACACGCACACTTTCTGAATGTCGGATTATTTTAATTTGCGGACAGTGCCTTTGGTATGAGGTGGATGTTTCACAACTGCAGATTCAAATATTGTCACAAAGTATTTAGAATGAACCCTTTCATGCTAAGTAACTTCTCCACAAGTCATACCCACAAATGCAAAATCACTGAATATACATCTCCAGCTGTATTTTCTGATCTGGTCACATCAATGTTCTCTGATTTCAATTAAGCCAAAGTTGGGGCTAAACCGACTTTCTGTGACCATCTCATCTTTAACATGAAGTTGAAGATTTGCATCTGAAGCCTCCCCTTATGGAATTTAAAGCAGCATGTCTGGTTAATGCCCAGCATCATCTGAATGTCCACAGTCTTTGGGTCAACAGATGACCCTTCATTTCTCTCTTTCAGTTGGTTAAGGTGCCTCACATCAACAACCTCTTGCTGAATGCACATGAATGCACATGAATGCAGATTCTGGTTTTATATATTTGGGTAGGAGGATAGGGCATACTGAGAATAACAGATACATATTTGCAAATTCCCGCATCATTTTTTCCCCTTTGCATTTGAATGAAGGTGGGAATTCATCTGTAAATGCCTCTAGAAGGGGCATATTGCACTATAATGGGACCAAATAACCACATTGTTTGCACTTTTGCTATTTCTCTAATAAAAGGTTATTTAGACAGTAATTTTCTAGTCATAATAAAAAATTATAATACAAAAAAGCTTTTGCGTGTCCATATTAGTTACAAAATAGGGCGAGCATTTTGTGTGTGTGTGTATGCATATTCGCATAAATACTTACACACACACACCCCCTTGGACCTCATTTCCAGGGTTCAGGGCTGGAAATACTTTTTCATTGTGAAGTGTAATGCTTTCAAAGAGATGAATCAGAACGTTCAACACAGATGTAAGCCTCCTTTGCACAGAGCATCAGTCATATTCTTTGGGGGCCACATATGTAGGTTTGGTGATATAGAACCAGCTTTCTTTAAATAGCCATAGATTATTTTCCCCCATGTTTCAGGACTGGGCGTCCCCAGCAGGACATCCTCAGAGCAGGTAGGAAAGTCCTTGAAATCACTTTCAGAGGAAAAACCGCAAGGAGAACAGCACGGGACTGCCCCTGCTGGCTGAGACCTACTCCCAGCAGACATCATCAATCGTTATACCCAAGAAAGCGGTTTATAATGCAAGCACCAAACAGCTGGGCCCCATTTTCATCCTAATCTACCACCTCAAGACTGGCTCACAAAATGCAATCACCCAAGACCTTCGATGTTAACGTTCCAGATGATAGGATGGCCCTCGTTCTCACTTAACTTTTCCTTGTTAACGGCGAGCCCATTGGCACTTAAAAAAACAACTCAGGAAATAATATGGCTTCGAGTGAACAAATAAATATGAATTTCTCAGGGGGGTTTCGACATTATCTGTGGCCTTCCTCTTGGTTTGGTTCCATGGATAATTTCTCCCCCAGTTTTCTAATAAGTTCTGCTAGGTCTTCCGTATTCTGAGACTTTTCTTCAAGGAGTTCATAGCGCAGACTTGAGATGTCCTGCTTAATTTCCTTCAGTTCCCCTTTGAAAAGCAAGCGTGATAAGAAGCCCACCGTAAATACGGAATGCAGAGACACGGGTGAGTCTGGGATAGGACGAAATGGGGCCTTGTTTATTGCACGTTTGTATTTTGAATACTCTCAAGGAAATAACTTCCTAATAGAGGGGGTTTCTGTTTTCTCCGTTAAGTATTTTGGTGAATGAAGAGACTACAGCAAAATTATCACAAAAGTTCTCCTGAAGTGAATCCAAAGGAAATGGGCGAGTGTCTTGGGGGCTGGGACAGCAGACCCTCATCCTTCCCACCCACTTCCTCCTCCCCCAGGCCCCCTAAGAGCAATCGCTTTTCTCTAGCAAGTGACGTCTGCCCCTGGTTGTGGGGACACAGTCTGTTCCCCACTATTTAATGGACTTGACGGCCCACTGCCCCGCGAAGCTCACCCTGCCTGCCCCTCTTTCTGGCTCGACCTCGGCTCCAGGCACCTAAGCCCCTCCCCCCGGGTCCCAGCCCACACTGGGGCTCACCTGCCCCTGTGTTCAACTCACCTTCGTTCACTTCATCACTCTCCTTGTCTATCTGGGCCTTCAGTACGTATCTTTTAATGAGCCTCTTCATGATTTTCTAGACAGAGAAAGGAGAAATCCATCTCAGGTTTATGTTCATGGCGAGCCTCTCTGGAGTAAGCTCCCAGTCTTCCTCCCGGGGATAAGTGCTTCGGAAGTGATGGCTAGTCACTGGACGACCTGGCTGGCGGGGATGCATGCTAGTGCCCAAGTCTGTTCTTTTTTAAAGCAATTTTCACATCGCCATGACTCAAAGGTTAACTCTTAAGGACACATCCAGTCCCTCATGTCCGATGCTTGCATTTTATTTTAAGAATATTAGAGCAAAACACGACCTTTCCGTTGGGCAGGTGGGAGAGACGCAGCACTGCAGGTGGAAATGGGCAGTGGGTACGCCCCGCCCCCCAACCCGCCGACAGTGTGGCCAGTTTTGATTTTATACTTGCGAGGGATGTAGGGATGCTAGTTTCAATGTACTAAGGTCTCTTCAGCACCTAAGCTTCCATCATGCTTTTCCAACTTGCTTTTACTGTACATTTTCCATAAACAGCAGGAGACTTTGGGTGTCCTGGGGCAGTCCTGGATGGATATACAGCTAAACCAAAGCTCACAGCTAGGCCCAATGTTAAAGAGTAAACAGGCAATTCCGCCTTCAAGAATCCATCCTAAGACATGATGTGGTCCATGAACAACTACGCTCACGGTAGTACTAATTACATAGTAGAAAAAATAAGCTCTTGGATGTCAACCTAGAAGGAATTATTTTCATAAATTGTCATATGTTTATAATGAACACAATGATTTATGATAAATATTTATGTTAAATACATATTATGATAAACCATAAAGGAAGATGATGCTTTGTATGCAAATATATACATATAATCAACTGGCAGAATATTCGTCAAAAGCACACAGTCTTTGTTTCTCAGGAGTGGGACTGGAGATGAACTGTATTCTCTTTATGTTTTTCGTAAGACTTGCCTTTTTACCATGAATATGTAGACTCTAAGCTCCATGAATCTGCGAACTTTTTCTATTTTTTTCACTTATGTATCTCTAGCATTTATAAAATGCCTGGTACATAGTAAGTAATAAATTAATGTATGAATTAATGTAACGAATTAATACCTTACTTGATATTGAGAAAAATATTCCAGTAGCTTATAAAATAAACTATTTTTATAATTTTATACTTTATGTAAACTTTTTTTACAAAATAAAGTTTTTCTTTGTGGGTCAGAATTCAGGTGCCAAGGAAGCATTAATTAACTATTAATAAATTTTATTTAAAGAATCACATAGTTTGAAAATCTAAATATTACGCATATATGTACACATACATATTACATATAACTAGACTTACTTATTTTAAAATTTATGCTTACCTGATATTGTCTTGGGGGATTATTGAAATTGTTTAAGTGGAAATCTTCCGAGCTCCTTATACTTGATTGTTTACTGTGTTCAACCTGTAATTTTAAAAGACTGAGGAGTTGATTCTTATTTTTTTAAACAAAGTGATGAGATTACGAATTGTTTTATTTATTATATATATGTGTGTGTGTGTGTGTGTGTGTGTGCGTGTGTGTGTGTATACATGAACGAATAAATGGTCTCATATACATGGGTTACCTTATCTATGGGTATAGTGCCACTTAACTTGACTTGCTTAGTCTTCTGTCTTCCCAGACCAATCAGAAGCATTTTAGGTGTGTTCAGTTTCCCAGTGGCTGTCAGAGGTTGTGCGAGGTGACTCTTGGACTTAGTGGCTGTCAGTCATGCTGTCATGACAGTCACGCTTTAACCTTCCCACAAATATGTCCATGGAAGAGACAATGAGTCAGGGCATTAATGGTGGTGATCTCAGAAGTCCACTGGGGAGGGATCAGCAGAGCCACCTGACTGACCGGGACATCCATCCCGGCAGCACGGACAGATATGGATCCCTAAGAATCATCAGGGCAAGACTTTGTTGTGGGGTGGAATCCAGGTGTCAAGAACACCAATTAATTCATTTGAGTTTCACGGGCTATATACGATCCCGATTAGGCAGTGCTTTTCAAATAATATATTTTCCCAAACAGGCAAATAAGAAAGAATTGAAGCAATCTGTGATAAAAGTGGTAACATGCCATGTTCGCATGCTAAGAGGGTGATTAAAAACTGTTTAGTACGGTGGGTTGCCTGAGCCCACGGGTTCGAGACCAGTCTGGGCAACTTGGCAAGACCTCGCCTCTACAATAAGCAAAAAATTAGCTGGGTGTGGTAGCTCGCGCCTGTAGTACAGCTACTTGGAAGGTTGAGGCGGAAGGACCGCCAGAGCCCAGCAGGTTGCGGCTGGGGTAGCCGTGAGTGTGCCATTGCCCTCCAGCCTGGGCAACGGAGTGAGACTCCGACTCAGAAAAAACAACAACAAAAAAACTGTTTAGTGCAATTTCTAAGGGAATAAAACTTGTTTTTTACAAAGAAAAACAAGTTGGAGAATCTGAGTAAAACAGAGCGGCTCTAAATGTGCATGTTTATGATGTGCACGGGTCTTCCAAAGGCAGAGAAATGTCAAGTCTGCCTTCAAGGGCACCCATGATTTCTACCTCCGATTGACACCTAAGTCGTGTTAAGTAAAGCTCACTGAGACTGGGTTCAACTCCTGCCTTAGCATCAATGCGTCGATGCTTTAAATGGTCACATGCTGAATCAACAGCTGCACACACATTCATTCATTGAACACGTATGTATTGCGGGTCCGCTATAAGTACGGTGCTAAGCTCGGCTCTGGGTATTCAATGAAGAACATCAACACTATAGTCTTGCTGAGTTATAATAACAGGGAAAATAGGTAAGGCTGGTAAGACTCATAAAAAACAACATAGAAGTCTGAAATGATTACTTCGTTAGCATCCTTTTTAATGTCGCTATCTCTCTTTGACTTTCATTCCATCTAAAAATGTCAGCAAAACATCGGTATATTTTTACTCATATTGACTTTTACAAATTGTTAGGATAAAAATAAATAATTCACCATAATAACCACTGAGAGGCAGTTTGGGTTCTCCCGAAGAGCACTTGAAGGAAACTTGAAGGCCGATTACCATGATGGAACAGCAGGCAAGAGGCTTGAACTTGACACAATCTCTTCTGGCAGTGAGGGGCGTGGTCCAGCTGATTTCCATCATCCTTCAAGCCCTACTAATTTGTGAGTTTGTGAAATGCATGAACACTTCACCGTAATATTTTTAAGTCATACAATGGGAACGCTGGCTTTTAAAATACGATTTAATGTCTTAAGGACATTATTAAATGTGGCGAACCAGGTTCAAGCCCATTATGAGAAATGGAAGTGAGGACAGGATCAAGTAACGATAGAGGGAAAGGGGCCAGACAAAAGGAATATCCGTGAATCACGTCTTTGATTTCTTTACTATCTACTCACTAACTCAATACTGACATTTGGGGCTGGATAATTCTTTGGTGTGCAGGGTGTCTTGTGCATTGTAAAATGCTTAGCGGCATCCCTGGACTCTAACCACTAGATGCCAGTAAGAGTTACCCCTGCCCCTGTTGTGACAAAAAATACCCCTGGCTGGGAACCACAGATATTGTTAAATGGTATATGAATAGACAGCTATAAATTCATGTGGAACATATTTATGTGACTAATTCTGAAATACCAAGTTTTGACCTTACATATAACATATTTTTTTCAGCAAAAACCTTGAGTCAGTTTCTAATACATCGTAGAAATCCACCAAATACTGGTTAAAAAATCAAATATAGAGAAACAGTATGTAAACTTATCCAATGGTGCAAAGAAGCATCTTTACCACTTGGTGGCAGAAAATCCTAATATATAATTGTTTCCTTGTGTAATGACTAAATGTAATGTTTGGAAAATCATAGCTGGAACACTTTTGCGCGTGCAAGAAAATTCAACTTGAAATATGAATAATACTTAAAGGTTAGGGATTTGGATATTGCTGGATGGTGCCAACACATATAGAGTCACAGGGGCCGGAACGTGGGGAGCTTGCTGGCGGGAAGCAGGAAGGACTGGAGGCAAGCTTTGTTCCTAATTTGGAAATAAACTCTTTCCAATTCTCAACGAGCCATTGCCTATCCCTTTAAAAAAAAGTACCCTCGACTACATTTCCCGCACTCTTTATGCTTTTTCTTTCTCACTTCCTAATAATTTGATATCAGCATTTCTGGTCCTGTAGGTCCATTGTAGGATTAGAATGAGCAACATTAAATGACTTGTTTCTTATTCATTAAAAAAAGGAACAGGTAATCTTGAGTCTGGGGCATTTCTTACAGTGCTGGACCTGGGAACTGCTCAGTGAGTCTCCCATTTCCCACAAGCCAGGAACAAAGGAATGAACTGAAAAGGTGCAGGCAAATCTTAGAAAGGAATGCAGGTATCAAAGGAAGCTGTGTTGAATGGTGCTTGTAAGCATCTTACTTTGGAACCAAGGAGACGTGGGCTTGAACTCTGGCTCTGTCACTTGTCTGAAATAGGATGGAAAGCAAGTCACTGCACCTGTCTATCCTCAGGTTCTTTAGGGATAGAACAAGGAAAAGAACATTACCCATCTACTGGAGCTAATGTGAGAATTAAAGATACAAGGTGTAGAGTACGTAGCTTGACATAACAGCAGGTGTTCTACCATGGTCAGTAGATGCTATTTCCGTATAGAAGGGTGAATATCTACTACGTGGCTTTAGGCTTTTTCGTGATTACTTTAACCTGCAGACACTGCTCTACTTTTGATGGGGCTATGCCTTGCTAAAACCATTGTAAGTTGAAAGTCTCATAAGCTGACATGCATTGGATACACCTAACTACTGAGCATCATAGCTTAGCCTAGGCTGCCTCAAATGTTCCCCAAACCCTTACCATTGCTTACAGTGGGGCAAACTCATCTAGCACAAAGCCTATATTGTAATAAAGTTACAACAATTTTTGAATCAAAAATCAAAGTATGGTTTCAACAAATTGTGTATTGCTTTCACCCATCATAGAGTTCAAAAAAAAAAAAGAAATTAAGTATAATTTAAGCGGGGGACTGTCCATACTCAATTTATTCTGGAGATACTCTGGCAAATATTGGTTTTTCCAATATGCCCAAGCTCATGACTAAGTGGGTCAGGAAATGAACTATTGAGTGATTCCCATACCCTGATGAGCATTAGAATCTCCTAAGGCCTACTCTATAGGGCGCAAACGCCTGCTCCCAAACTGACAATTTGGGAGTGGAACAGAGCAGTTATCGAGAAGCCGTTTGGCATTTTCAGGAATACACATGTAATTGTGGATGGCAGAAATGGACTTTTAATGGATGCCTTCCTTCCAGGCTGTATATCTAAAAAACTAATGCTAGCAATCACCAAAGTCAGTGGTCTTTAGGGTTGAAGGGTGTGCTCGAAGATAATGGCTAGGTCTGCCTACCTAGTTTCAAACAGTATTTTTATATATGGCTCATCCTACCAATTTCTTTTTTTTTTTTTGAGTCGGAGTCTCACTCTGTCACCCAGACTGGAGTGCAGTGGCTGCTCCCGGCCACCGCAGCCTCGACCTGACGGGCTCCAATGATCCTTCAGCCTCAGCCTTCCGAGCAGCTGGAACTACAGGCGCACACTACCACGCCCGGCTGATTTTTTTATTTATTGTAGAGATGAAGTCTTGCCAAGTTGCCCAGGCGGGTCTTGAACCCACGGGCTCAGGCAATCCACTCACCTCAGCCTCCCAAAGCGCTGGGATTACAGGCTGAGCCACCGAGCCCAGCTCCTACCGATTTCTATGGGGCACCTGGAACAGATGTGAAGGCAGTGTTTGTGCAGCCAACTACACTCTTTAGCCTTCAAGGGGTCAGAGAGGAGACAAGAGTGAAACAGAAATTAGCTGTTTCTAGTTCACTAACTGCTTCTACTGTCTTAGATGTGGGCTTTATGAAAAAGAATGGGGAAAAGCCACATGAATCGGATAAGAAAGAATAAGCCATGAGAGTTTTTCCTTATCTATTTTCTCTATCTATCCATCCATCCATCCATCATCCATCCATCCATCTAGGCCAAACCATCTTATTAACACTGGACAAAAAGGAATTGAAATACAAATGGTTGCTTTAACAAAAATTTCCCCAGGAGTACAGTGAATGTAGCAAGCAAAACCAAGCTATGTGAAATGTGTCTCAAATTTTGTTCACCACAATCTTAAAGAACAATAGATACTTGTGTTGATTTGGCCTCCAGGAGTCAAATGCCAAGACAGAGGCAGAAGTAGAGATCTATACAGAATTATGCCCATGAAAGATCAGGGGAAGTGGGAGGGGGGAAGGCAGAGAAAGCCACAAATTGGGAAGCTCCCACGAAAGAGGGAAGGGTAAGAAGACTGTCTGAGCAGGTGAGTCAGCCCAGTGGGGAACCACACCTCCCCAGCTGCCTCAGTGTACAATTACGCAAGAAGGCCCCTGGG